TCTGATAAGGCTTAGGTGTGGGGTGGTGTGTGGAGGGGTGGCGCGGAGTGTGAAATATGAGCTGGAGATGTTTCGTGCAGTAGAAGCATGACGTTGTTGTGCAGTCCAGCACATTTTGCATTTCTCCACAGTCACGAAATTGTAAGACCTCCTTAGATGTTTTCACTTAGTGGTTACCTGAAAAATGTTCTTCATCCTTTAGTCTGTCTCTAAAGAGGAGAATGAGGGCTTCAGAACAGAGCGTAAAGTGGAGGATTTGGCATAAATTGAATCTTCAAATTCGAAATGCATCAGGCACTAGAACTGCACTCGCTCTAGACTCAGTAAATATCCAGATCAGCTCAGTAGTCATCTAAAAAACAGCAGAACTCCCCCAGGTCCCTTACAAAAGCCTATCGAGTCCGTCAGGTCAAAGGTCAGAGGTCAGAGGTCAGAGTTCGACTGGCTCCTGGGCTTTGACGTGGACGCTGGGCAGACAGAACCAGGCGGGCGGCAGGTCGCGGGCCGTGCTGTCATCTTGGAACTTGATGTTCAGATAGAAATCACCAGTGTATAAGAAGAGCAGGGCTCCCACACACACAGAGTTCTCTGTAGGCTTCACCTGCGGACGAGAACATCACACTCCTCAAACACCTGCAACCTACACACTCCTCACACACATGACTTGAGTGAGGCGTCAGAGAGAAGTCTTACAGCTGCAGAAGCAGTCTGTCCTCTTTAAAACAACCAAACTCAGACCGCTTGAACAGAGTGAACGGGAATTCATTGTTGGAATTCATGGTCGTAAAAAGGGTTCAGATCTAATTTTATTCAATCTACTTTTTTTTTTTTTTTTTTTTTAGTTAACCATTTTTACTGAAAAGAGCACACTTTAGGTTGGAATGTAATTTTTAATGCGTCACTGCTGCCATGATAACCGTGTTTGGATTGGTAAGAGTGACATTTGCAATCTGCATCTTGGAAAAATCACATGAATTTAATAGTTTGTTTTTCCTCCAAAGTCCAAAATCAAGTTTAAGCAATTTCTTCTCCCACTTCTAGTCGTCTAGTCCACCTCAAGTTCACCTTAAACACTGCATGTCAGGCATATCAATTTCTCCTGACATGTAGGCTAACTCTGCACACGCAAACAAACTTTGGCCTGTCAGACTGGAAAAATATGCTTTGCTGCTGTATTACTTTCCTGTCATGTTTCAGTCTGTGTTGACCTGCCAGTTGCTTCTGCATCATCACTGAAGATGGTCCACCTGAATATAATAATAATAATAATAATAATAATAATAATAATAATAATAATACCACCAGTAGTAGAAGTAATAATTCAATACAAAAATCGAAAATGATATGTATTAAATATTGTTCTGTTCTATATTTCTTATATAATTTCACATAAACTACAAGTTAAAAATGTAGATACATATAACTGAATTTATGCTTCTCGTGGTCTTAAAAACATTTTAATCTAAAGGGGTATGATTTAATGCTTGTAATTATTGTTTGTGCAAATAAATGACTCATTTAAATTACACATAACATTTTAAATTACTTTTTTTTATAGTTATATTATTTTTATATTAATAACAATAATGGTAATAGTATTAATAAACAAAAAAATATTTAAAAATACATATAATATTAGAAATTTGTGTTGCAATATTACATATATTATGCATTTATGTATTTCTGTCATAATTTCGATATACTAGCAATTAAAAGTTTGGGTAAAAAAGACCAAATGTATGCTTTCCATTATCTTAAAAGCATTTTAATTTAAAGGTTTATGTAATTATTTTGTTTGTACAAACAAACAAATAAATAAAAATACATATAAATGTTCAATTATCAGATTATTATTACTACTAGTACTACTACTCGTAATAGTAGTACTAGTAGTAATAAACTAATAATATAATCTAAACATGTATTACATATAAATATTAAAGAGTTATGCAATATTACATATATATTTATGTATTTCTGTCATAATTTCACAAACACTACCAGTAAAAATTTTCTTTTCTTTTTTCTTTCTTTTGATTTTAAAAACATTTCCATCTAAAGGTCGATGATTTAACGCTTGTAGTTATTTATAATAAATTAAATAAATTAAGAAAATATACATTTTCATTTGTTTAACATTACTGGTCTTTACATAATTCCCATATGTGTTCACAGTTTTGATGACTTGTGAAAAATAGTACTTACAAAGAATAAGTAGATGTGTTCATTGTTGACTGTTTTAAGCCAAACAATGTATAAGTCTTGTATAATTTTTTATATATATATATATACTTGTATAATTTATACATACACTGTATATGTACAATAATATACATTGTAAAAGTCTTACAAATCTCTCTTAAAAAGTCTTAAAGAGGATGGAAAAAGAGTGTGGAAAACTAAATGAGAATTTCTTTTGCAAGGAACCTTGATCAACATATAAGTTAGTGGCTTGTGACTGAGCGCTAAACGTTCCTCAGACGTTGAGGATGTGACCCGGCTCAGACAGTGTCCTGCTGCTCACCGTGCTGATGTAGAAGGTGTTGGAGCCAATGAAAGAGACGGCATCCTGCAGGTCGTAGTTTTGGACTCCGTTCTGATAGTCTTGGAAGGGGACGACGGTCAGAGAGAACGGTCCGACGGCGCTCTTGCTGCGGTTGGTCAGTTTCACCTCTAACGGCACAGCGTCTCCGACCCTGCAGTCAGCGATCACGTCACAGTCACACGGCTTTCCGTTAACCACAACATCTGCAGACAAACAGAGAGAGAGACAGAGGCGTGAGAGAAACTCGAGCAGTCTTCTCTGCTGAAACATGCTTTATATTTGCAACGCAAAACTCTTCAGCTCACATTTATTGAAAACTGAACCGCAATAAGAAGCCATGCAGAAATCATCACAAACACAAGCTACTGTTTTTCTCAACTGCACATTTACTAAATCCTGTAACGCATTTCTCAAAACTACAACCCCCCAAAAAATCAACTGTACAAACTCTCCATTCAAAACTATTCATCTTTAATGCAATTCAAACTTTGCCTTCAAATGGCTCATAAAGCCACCAAATACAAATATACACAGCACTCATTACTCACTGAGTGATTTATTAAAAACCGTATGAACCTTGAAATGGTGCAAAACTACCAGTAAATGACTGAACATGCAGGTACTGAAAAGCAATACCATCAAATATATAAACACTTTGTTTAAAAGTTTGGCTTTTGTGATTACAGTGTGATTCAGAAAAATGAAGCCTCATTTAAGGAAAATAATACTTCCGTTATTTTGGATGCGAATGAACAAAATAAGAAGTTTGTAGAAGAGCTGTATAAAACAGGTGGTGATAAAAATGTTTTAAATGTGTAGAAAATAACTTACTGAAAGGAATAGTTCATTCAAATATACAGTATATACACACTATCGCTCAAATGTTTGGGGTCTGTCTTTTTTTTTTTTTTAAAGAAATGAAAACTTTTATTCAACAAGTATGCATTAAATTGATTAAGAGTGACAGTAATGACATTTAATGTTACAAAAGATTTCTGTTTTAAATATATACATTCTTTTGAACTTCCTATTCATCAAAAAATCCGGAATAAAAGAATGCGTCACAGTTTTTACAAAAATTATTAAGCAGCACATCTGATTTCAATATTGATAATAATAATAAGAAATGTTTCAGTGCGGCAAATCAGCATATTAGAATGACTTCTGAAGGATCACGTGACACTGAAGACTGAAGACACTTCAGCATTGCATCAAAGTAATAAATTACATATTAAAACATATTCAAATAGAAAACATTCATTTTTAAACTGAAATTATATTTCACAACGTAAGAATTTTTGATCAAATTATTATTATTCAAAGGTATTAACTTCAAAAACGATAGAAATAAACAAACAAAATCTTACTGAATGGCATTGTAATTTGGACTATTTTGAACATTTGTGCAGCTCAACGACTTGAGGCCATATTCACTAGTATTGTAAGAAAAAGAACACATGTCCTTTTATTGCCACAGAAGAGAAAATCACAAAGGTTTAAATAATGAGGGTGAGTAAATGATGACAAATCTTGGATGAACAAACCCTTTACAATTAAACGAAACCCACAAAACACATCTACTAGACTGCTTCAGTTGATCATCAAACTTGACTCTCAGAGAGTCAACAGTGGCAATCCATGATGCACCAGCACTGATCTCAGAGCAGATCATGAACGAACGCTCACTAAAAACAAAGAGGAAAGAGGAAATAATCCAGGTTTTGTGCTACTGATGGTGAAGAAAGCTGCTCTCAGCTGTTGCTATCTATCACGATGAGGAGTTCTCTGTGTCTCTTCACAGAGCTGTCACACGAGCCCCGTCCCCGGAGAGCGGCATGCTGGGAGATGTGGTCCCTGCGGGCCTCTGTCAATGACACACAGACAGACAGCCTTCCCCGCAGGACTACAGCAGCTCACTGCAGGATAAACAATCTCTCATTGACAGGACAGCTGTAGATGCCTCGGTCTGAACTCTGAGAAGCGGCAGGTACTGCCGTCTGTTTGGGTAATGATGATTTAACAGTCGCTATCAAAAACCGAGACGGCAAATGTCAAGTTTATTTTTTTATAGGCCGAGGCCAAATGTTTGGCTTCGCATCATCAAATATTCACGGCCCCTCCTGACTGACGTAAGACTTGGTGAAATAAAGTTTTTCACTCAGCAAACCCAAATGCTATTTCAAGTCCCAAAATAGCATTTCAGCAGAAACCGAAAGCGTTTTTGGAACAAAACAATGCCACCGGCACCGACTAAACACAAGCTGTTTAATCAAGATTCTTTCCAACAACTCCCGTTTCATTTAAAGCTTTGTTTTTAAATGCCGAAGATCAAACGCAGACCACAAAACACGTCGTCACTTAGCCGTCAAAATATTGTGATGTATGAAACAATATTTAGCTGAAAATAGGGCACAACTTTCGATTGAGTCGATTGAACTGCATTATGGGGAAAAAGGGTGTTTATTGGGTTGTTTTTGTTTTTGTTAAATAAATAAAGTTTGAGGTTGTTTGGGATTAGTACGATTTTTTATGTTTTATAACAAGTCTCTTACCCTCATCAAGGCTTCATTTATTTGATAAAAAAAACACAGAAAAAAACAGCAATATTGTGAAATATTATTGCAATTTAAAATAACGTTTTTCTATTTTAATATACTTAAAAGTTTCAAAAGAACAGTGTATGTGTTAGTGTATAGGCCTATTGTTAGATTAGATTTTTTGAATCTATATTTTGAAAAGATATTTTGAATAAATGCTGTTCTTTTTTAACCTTTAATTCATTAAAGGATCCTGAAAAAAGTATCACAGGTTCCAATAAAAATAAATAAATAAACTGAAGAACTGTTTCCAAAATTGATAATAAATTAGTATATTAGAATGATTTCTGAAGGATGAAGACTGGAGTAATGATGCTGAAAATTCAGTGTTGAATCACCGAAATAAATGAGATATTAAATTATTATTATTTTGTGCACAATTTAATGCCATTTATTGGTATTTTTGTATTAATTAATTTATTTAAAGAATAAATTATCTTTTCACAATCCAATTAATTCCTGACATATAAAATGAAGTCCCACTGTATTTTTTTTCTCAGTGAATGTTCTGTTTCACTGAAATGCGTGCTATTGCAGTAAAATGGGTTAAGAATGCCATTTTCATGTTGACTTTAAGAATTTCTTAAGCTTTGTTGTCTGTTCATCCACTGCAGCTTTAATAAGATACAAATTCTTGATTCAGAAAGTAAATCCACCAAAAATAATACAAAACATGAGTGATGTAGTTGAACCTCCTTCAATCTTGTATTCTGAACACAAGTTCAGAGGTTGATTGCGTTGTGCTATTTCAGGAGTATCCAGAGACGATCTCTCTCTCTCTCTCTCTCTCTCTCTCTCTCTCTCTCTCTGTATGTGTTCAATTTGTAGACAATATGAGACCACAGTCTCCACTTTTCTGAAATTTTATCTTATTTTCGCCTGATCCACTTTGTAAATAATAGCCCTCCATTTCATCTACCACACACACACACACACACACACACACACACACACACACACACACACACACACACACACACACACACACACACACACCTT